TGGAATATTTTTCAGAATGTTCTGAAATGGCCATTAGACGAAATCCAAACAAGTGAACTCTTGTTTCCTGTACCAGAGAATTTCAGTGACCAGCAAGGACATTAAAGAAGTGATAGACCTCGTCTGTATCAAACACCCCCACCACTGTGTTACACTCTGTACACCTCACAGGATGGAGCTTTTCTTCCTCCTCTGTGGAACTCTCCACCTCCTGCTGCTGACTACCTTGTGAGCCCTGCTGTCTTTTCCTTTTCTTGCTTTTCTGTGGTGGTTGTTTCAGTAATTCACTAAAGTCCACATGACAGTTCATCACAAACATGGCCCTATACTGGTTGTGGTACTTTTCATGTCTGAAAAAATATAAAAATCATCTTTACAAGAGGGGAGAATATTTTTTAGACACAATACAGGTTGAATCAACTTCTCAAAGAGAAGTTCTCAACACCTTTTTTATCACAGGATAATTTACAGAATGGAACTGTATCTCTCTCTGGGAAAGAAAATTCAAAGAGCTACAGGCCCGTCCACCCATGAGATGAAAAAATGGTTTTGTCAATTGTTGGTTATTACAATGGCTGGATATGTACCTCTGTGTTAGGTTTGTCCAAATTTTCTATCCCAGACCAGAGTTCTACATTTTGCAGTTTGCTAAAGAAAATTGATATAGTTATTTACAATATATTACTTTAATGAAGGTGAAATTATAAATGTTAAAATCATTACAGGATGTATTTCACAAGCGTGTAGCAGGAGAGAGAAGGAAATGTGACAGACTTGACAAAGATTCAAACCTTAGCCCCCTGAATCTCTAGTCAGGTGCTCTACCGACTGAGGTAGCAAGCCACCTAGTGATGGGAATCGGAAAGAATTTCATAATCTATGATTGGGTTACTCTAACTACTAATCGATTATAATCGGACATGTAAAAAGTATATCAATTCAAACAAGTAAATGGTAAGAATGGGTAAATGACGACTTTCTGTGGTGATCTAGCTGAACCTTTGTTCATATTTATTTATAGAACCAAAAGTAAGCCCATGCCCAGAAATATGCTCGTTATCAAGATAGAAATACAAGAGTTTGTTTATCTGCACCATTAATTTATGTTACACAAATAAGTCAAAAGCAATGCTGTGGATGGAAAATTAGGGTTGAAAAACTATTATGCTTGTAAAATAAAATAATAAACCGATTAATCAGATCTTTAAAAATGTAATCGATTGCTTGGATTATGTCAGCAATCGACTGATTTTCGAATATAATCGATGATTGGAACTAGGGATGTCAAATCGGTCAATTTTTAATACTCGGTTACTCCGACGTTTTTCCGATCGAGTACCCGGGTACTCGGTAAAAGTGTAAATAAATATGAACAAGTAAATTGATGAATGAAAAACACTGTAAACACTTGTAGAAATAAAACCACATGTTCTGTTAGGAGATTTACACGTAAATGCATTTTTGTTGTAACAATGATGAGAACTTCGTGCCCGACGAAATTTAATACAACATTTTTTACAGTTCAATTTATTTATCAGATAAACACAAGAAATAAAATCGTTAGTGGTTCATGATGTTTTTCTTTTAAAAAAAATAATCTACTCCCTAATTGTAATGTAACTCTTTGTTCATTTGACGTCAAGGTATATATCAGTCGTACAGTTTGACTTAAACTTGACCAAGTTCTAACAGAGCCTATTTACGGTTTTTGTATACTTTTCGATCCTAGATTTTATAGTATCACGGGACGGTATTTTGTACTTTAGTGCAACGATGGACATCAGTTTTTTTAAAGCCTTTGCCTTCAACTATTTGTACATGTATTGGCATGTAATCAAACCATATCAACAGTCGCGCGTGTATTATCATCTGTCCCTTTTCCTGAGAATTTATGGCTTCTCGGAGAATTGAAAAAATTATATAATTTATTCAATCATAACAGACCTTAAACGATGTTCAGTGAAAACAAATAATTAAAGAAAATCAAAAAATAAGGATAGAAGACAGCCCCAGGTAACGGTGACCCAGGTAGCAGGTGCTTGGTCACGATAATTACTGTATAAACACTGTCACGGGCGATAAGGAATAGAAAACCCTAATTACTGTATGTATAAGTGCAATGAGTATATAACGTTTTAAAACAGATTGATTAATGCATTAATAAATAAGCTTAGAAATATTCAAAAATATACATCCGAGTAACCGAGTACCGATTTTAGTATTCGATACTAACCGGGTACTCGTTGACATCCCTAATTGGAACCCATCTGACGGCCATAAATAAATCTGTTATATTTCTCCGTATTACTACACTTACTTCTGGCAGTCCAGACACAGCGTGGTCATACAGGCGGGACAGTCCAGCACCGCATCACTAGTGGGTAATTTTCTAGGGGCTTTCCTGTCCCTGGCCATGAGTGACCGCCGGTGATTGTCCACCCAGCGCTGGTCATCATCGTCCTGGTCAGGGTCATATAAAAGGTCATCGTTCGTCATCTTCTCCAATTTCTCTCTCTTCTTCTTGTCCCCTGTGGTGTTAGAAGATAAAATTAACTTCGCATGTTTAAGTTATGAAAATTAGAAAATTTTGTTCGATTCGGGATATATGATTCCCATAATTTATTCCTCCATCAAATTCTGACCCCCTAACACTGTATAACAACTCTTATTCATGTGTGACAAGTATTCACAAGTTTCGCGACCTATTCTGTCTTTGATTGCAATGTGCATGAGCATGCCTACCTTCCCTCCCATAATGTTTACAATTCAATTAAAGAATTTCAAGATTACCCCCTTTAATCATGTCCTCTTCATCTGAGTCGAAATATATGTCATCGTTAAAACCATTGTCCTGTTTACTCCGTTCACTAGAGGTTCCTGGTTTTGAAGTCTCTCCATTCTTACTGCCTAAATAATAGAAATACTAAAGAAATAAGAAACAAACAGATTTTAACTTATTTTTTTCATTTTTTAAACTTTTCTCCCTATTCTGGTTCTTATTAAAGTTTGAAAAACAAGAATACGATCTGGGATGTTGCTGGTTGAAATTTTGGACATTTCCTGCTCTAGTTTAAATTTCACTTAATATTTGGAATACTTTATTTCAAGTTAAATAATTTTGTATTTTGTTGGTACAATTCTGATTTTTTCTCATCTGTGGATAATAAATTTACACTGTTTAGAGTTTTTTTTTGTAAAATAACCTGTTTTTTGTCCTGATTAGTAATTTTAACTCACTGGGTGATGCTGAATACCTGATATTGTCTGTCCTGATTTCCGAGCCTCCTCCAACGCTGTTACTCTCCGATCTAATTCCTCGTTCATCTCTTTCTCGAAATCAGACTCAGCTGATGAGCCTTTACTGGAAACGGAGCTGTGCCGGACTCGCACTCTCTTCTGATTAGCACAGTGGATGGTGAAATCAAGTTCATCATCTGAACTGTAGAAAAAAATTATAAAAACGGTTTCCTTAAATGGTGAAATTTTTATAGTCAACTCAGCATCAGCTGCTAAAATTGCAAAAAAGGGTAAAACTGTTAAATTATGAAAAAGAAAATTAGAGTATACTCACATCTCAAATTTGCAGGTCTGTTTGACAACTTATTTTGTGCGAGTTACCTAACTTCCCAATTTGGGGTATTGTATTACAGTTCCAAACAAATCGTAGTAGTATTTCTGTAAAAATACTGTGTCTTTTCCAAACAAAATATATACAATGTCCCTGATGTAGTAAAACTAAACTCAAAAACTTCAACACATTATGTTACTTGGTCCTTTTAACCTCAGTTTTTTTTCCAAAAAAGTGAAGAAGTCTACAGGGACTTGTGTCTTTATGAACATACGACGAAATTGTCAAACAAACTACAGACCTGCTGCCTCTTTCAACGTCACTGTCATCATCTACAAAGTAGTCAGCATCCAGGTCTCGCTGGAAGAAGCCTGCCATTTCTTCACAATCACAATTATTCGTTATTTACGTTTTTAAAACGCTTGCCTTGCTTACTTTCATTTTTTGGCAAGCGGTAAATCTAGTCTTCCCGACTCCCGACTCCCGACGGTTCCGGATTTGGGATTTTTAGCGATTTCTTTTTTACCGGTGCACAGAATTTATTCAAACTTTTCAGGCACATTTTTAGGTTTAAATAAATTCATTAATGAATAAAAACTTTAGGAAACATGTGTTTTTGTTTCTGAATCAGCAGTATCACCTGCCAAAGAGCGGTAAATCTAGTACTCTGTTATAAATGTTAAAACCAAAAACGGACACCGATGTTTTCGTAAAATCGCGATTATTTTATTAAAAGCAACAAAACGAAGTATAATTTTTTTTAACAAATAAGCGGAAAACCTCAGTTACATGCCAGATAATTTGTACGCACTAAAACTCACATGTATATCTTCTTTTTTTCAATTTAAAGTTAGCATGGTTATGCTTATTAATTATCTATACATAGCAATGAGCGGAGACGTGAAGTTTCGTAGATCATAATAATGATATTATTTGGGAAGATATATATTCTTTAAAAAAGATAGAATTAGTATTTCAGTGAATTGGTGGTGTTATAAAAATATTAACAGTTTTAACTTTATAAAATCCATAACATAAAAATCACTTTTAAAGTCAGGTTCCTTAAGAATTTCAATCATGGATAATTTTTTTAACATGTTAATGAAGAAGATATAATCACTTATATTGTAAAAGCTTTATTTAAGCAGATTTAGCTTGGGTAAAAAAATTAATTTTCTAATCACCCGATACAGTGAAAGTGAAGAGATATTCTGTCAAATTAAATTCTGTCAAATTAAAAAAAAGTAATTATGTATGGTAAACTGCCGATGAATCAAAGCTATTAACTATGTTAACTTAATTAACTCGTATTTGTAGACAAACCATGGTCCTTAAAATATTACTGGTAGTCTGATCATGTTTTTGTCATTGTGTAAGTTTTCCTACGATAGGTAGAATTTAGAGTAAACTTACAATAAATCAACAAATAGTAAATTCAAATAAAAAAAAATGGGGGGGGGGGGGGGCTCCGAGGTAGAACCACGTCAACGTCGTAGAGCCCGTGAACACAATGTGGCAATGAGTTCTATACAAGAGGGAAAAAAAATAAAATATGTGGGTGTTTTGGGGCATACAAATTATCTGGCATGTAAATGAGGTTTTCCTTTTTTTTTTTTTAAATTATACTTCATTTTGTTCTTTTTAATCGCGATTCTACGAAAACATCGGTGTCCGTTTTTGGTTTTAACATTTAAAACAGAGTACTAGATTTACCGCTTTCTGGCAGGTGAAACATCTGGTTAAGTAATAAATACAGAATTTTGTAAAAGTTTTTACAGGCGCGTAGCATCGTTTTTGGAAGTGGGGGGGCCAACCTGAGAAAATTTTTTTTTACTTACCTGAAAAAGTTGACAACCAAAAAAAAAAAAAAAAAAAAAAAAAAAAAAAAAAAACCAAAAATTAAAAGTTGCCCAAAGTCGAAAATCCTATTTCGTGGGGGGGGGGGGGGGGGGTAGTGGCTAACTTTTTTCAATACCAAATATAGTTTCAATTCAAACTTTTTGGGGTTAATTTTCTTATGACACTACCCTTTGCTGCAATGTGGGGGGGGCCAACCTTCCTTTCAGTAAACATTTTCTATAGTAAAGGTAATGTCGGGAGAAAAAGTGGGGGGTCCTGGCCCCCCCGGATACTACGCCCCTGTTTTATGTACTAATGAATTCATTTAAACCTAGAAAATGTGCCTGAAAAGTTTGAATAGTTTGTGTGCACCTTGAAAAAAGAAATCGCCTAAAAATCAAAATCCGGGACCGTCGGGAGTCGGGCGTCGGGAGTCGGGAAGACTAGATATACCGCTTGCCTCATTTTTTCAGTCACAGTCATTATTTGTTGCTAAATGCGAGTCAGAATATCCCTTATAAAACACGCACAGACGAACCTTTTACCAACGTAACTAAAAAGTAAACCATCCTGGTATGGAAAATATTAATCCGGAAATCAATGTAGCCTCAGGAAAAAAAAATATTTATGTCATTAACGTACATATATTTATTGATACATGGACAGTTGGCTTGTTTGACAAATAATGTTTATCCTACACGGATGTTAAGATGAGAAATGAAGAGAAGTGACAGAGTGCAGGCTCATTCAGACACTAAAAAGAGGTACGGTTTAAGGAGGCTCATTACACCACTTTTTGATGACGTACTACACAAAAAAATAAACCTCCATTGTGTCGACCGGTTTGCTCAGGGGACGAGTTGTATAGGAACCTCTATAATATGACCCTGACCTTTAAAACGTTTTAAAAATAGATGAAACATGCGGTGTTGTAAACAGTGAAAACAAAGCAACGGATTCATTGTGCATAGACCAAGAAGAATTGCTTTTAGGCAGAAACAAAAGAAAGCAACAGTCAAATCTTCGCCAAACAAGTAATGTCAATTTCATAGCCATGCATGTAGTGAACTCTATCAATCACTGACATGTATGTATGGAGGAAATTCGAGTTAAAATCTACAACCTTGTTGAAATTAAAATTTTATTTAATTGCGCTATTTACTGTGTTGGTGTTAATTTATATATTTGTTTTATTGATTTAAATGTATAATCTGGCAATTTAAAGCTTTATTCTGAATTTTAGATGTAATGTCAAACGTTCCATAGTGTTTTGAGTCTTGGCTAATTAGGAAAGATAACTCTTGAAAGTGGACTTTCTATACCAAATATTTTTTAAATTGGATTTTTCATTTCGTTTAAACTTTCTTCATTCATTTTGACACATGTAATTCATTGAAATACATTCCTTGTCTCTTCAGAACACATTTTAAAAATGTTTTATGCATAGATTAAAAAGATAATGACATTAATTGTTTTCTAGGAGAAAATTATTTTTTCTAATAAAAAAATTATTAGGTATTATGAGGTATTTTCACTGTGTGTACTTGTCTTAAGAAGATGCCCATCATTTGACACTGAAAGTTCTGAAATTCTGTGAATAATAAACCTGAAATAAAACATTTCACTAAAATAAAACAAAAACTAAAAAATTCTATAAAAAATATTTATGATATCAATACCCCCATCTGAATATTTGACATCTACATTATAAGTGGTGCTGTATTGAAATCTAAAATAAACTGTGGATGTAATGAGCCACCTTAATTACTGACTGAATCTTGAACTTTTTCTTAGAATAATGAAAAACCTATTTATGTGGAATCTTTATTTTCATCTAGTCCCTTAGGGCATACAGCTGTACTTTACAAATTTTTGAGGTGTGGTATGTGTTGTAGAAGACATGATGGTCGAAATTGATATATATTTAAGGAATGACTCTAATTCTTGGCCAAATTATCGAGTATAATATGGTTTGGGTCAGTTTACGCTTTATAATCCGCGAAGCGGATTATAAAAAAGCGTAAACTGACCCAAACCATATTATACTCGATAATTTGGCCAAGAATTAGAGTCATTCCTTATAATTTAATTTTAAAATAATTATTCAACAGGGGATGTAAAATAGTGTTGTTTTTATGAGTTCAAATTTACCGCGCAATAATACAACCGTAGTAACGGAAGTGATGGGAAGCGAGGGGAGGTAAAAACTGATACATAGATCTAGCGGCCATGATGCTTGTTTACATGAGGTAAGATCGAGTAACTGTTTGAAATTAAAGGTACATTCATTAAATCTGGAATTTTCCATGAATCCCAAGGACTGGAAATGAGGGGATTGATGGATACAGTTGATTATGCTGGTTGTCAAGGGGGTGTGTCCCCATACCAAACCAGATTATACAAAATGTTATGCATTGCTTTTTGGAAATTAACCAATGAGAGGCAAGAATACAAGCAAAATTAAATTATTTGAAAATGAATCGATCCTTGATATATAATTTAATTTTGCTTGTATTCTTGCCTCTCATTGGTTAATTTCCAAAAAGCAATGCATAACATTTTGTATAATCTGGTTTGGTATGGGGACACACCCCCTTGACAACCAGCATAATCATCTGTATCCATCAATCCCCTCATTTCCAGTCCTTGGGATTCATGGAAAATTCCAGATTTAATGAATGTACCTTTAATTTCAAACAGTTACTCGATCTTACCTCATGTAAACAAGCATCATGGCCGCTAGATCTATGTATCAGTTTTTACCTCCCCTCGCTTCCCATCACTTCCGTTACTACGGTTGTATTATTGCGCGGTAAATTTGAACTCATAAAAACAACACTATTTTACATCCCCTGTTGAATAATTATTTTAAAATTAAATTATAAGGAATGACTCTAATTCTTGGCCAAATTATCGAGTATAATATGGTTTGGGTCAGTTTACGCTTTTTTATAATCCGCTTCGCGGATTATAAAGCTTAAACTGACCCAAACCATATTATACTCGATAATTTGGCCAAGAATTAGAGTCATTCCTTAAATAACAATTTCTCTTCGACTCAACTGCGGATTGAAAGCCTGTGTTGTTTGTGTTTCAGTGGTTACATTCGAAATATTTTCCCCAAGGGTTTTTCCTTCTTTTTTTATTTTATTGAGTGCGTCGACATAATTTATAGGGGACATTCTTTATCAATATTGAAATGAAACTGCATGGATAAACCGTCCGTTTTTCCAAATAACACGCGACGCCAAGGAATTTTATTTATTTATTTTTCTCAATGTTAAAATAAGATTATATTTCAAATTATAACAAGTTTTAAAATACTTAATTTTTTCTGCGATCTAGTGGGTAGATTTGGTTGTTTTGGGTGAGCTCATGTTAGTAACTTCTTTTAGGTACCAGATTAAATCGAAAGATGACGAATTTTGGACATATATATCAGTGTTCTGCTGATGAATAAAGAGTTAGATTGAAGGTATAAACACTAGCTCTTAACATTTATATGAGTTGTTAAAGTCTCAAAATTCAATTTATTAGATCCCTGTTATCAAAGTGCAATTATAATGCCATAATACTAATCTTGAATATTTGACTGAATGTT